CTACTCCTCTGCTACTGCTACTGCTATTGCTACTGCTACTGCTAGTGCTAGTGCTAGTGCTACTGCTAATACTAATGCTAGTGCTACTGCTACTGCTACTGCTACTGCTACTACTGCTGGTGCTGCTACTACTGCCACTGCATTACTACTACTACTACTACTACTACTACTACCACTACTACTACTACTACGACGACGACTACTACTACTCCCCTCTACCAACCACCACAAAGGCATTGGCTGAAATTGCTTCTGTCCCTGGTTATCTTAGATCTCGCAGCTGGTGCTTTGCATGTATGAATGTTTCACCCCTCCGGTCATGCTCGGTCTCTGAACCAGTGTCCCCGCTTAGTGTTTCCGTGAAGGGTCATGGACGGAAGAGCTGTTGTTCCTGCGAATTGGGCTGTCTTGCCAAGTGACCAGTTCCAACCTAAGCCGACCGTCTTGGGGGATGGGGGCACGTGGAAGTTCGGGTCACCCCCCTCCACTCCCTCCCCTGATACCCAGGATCGGATTGAGGTTCGCGGAGCGTTGAACTCCACACTGGAGGATGACGCATGTGCTAACGCGACGAAGATGCGTCCCGGCGATGTGACACCATGCACCTCGCGGCCCGAGACTGCCAGTGCTGTCTTGAAGAAATTTGCTTGGCAGATGTCAAAGCTCGATGCAACTTTGCCTTCGGGCATTCGCGGATATCGTGTTGTCCCGAACTGGAAACTGAAAGCTACTGGAGATGGAGCGGCCTATGGAAATTTCCTCCGTCACACAGATCCGTTGAAGCATCGCATCCCGAGTGCTTCCATGCCCTGACGAGGAGGCAGACTATCCCGAAGGGACCAAAGCGCCTCAAAATCATGTGATCGAGGCCAGAATCTAAAGTCCAGGATTTAGAATGATTCTTCGATGATTGGGCTTGGTCTCACTGCTGATTGTGGTCCGCATGATTGTAGCAGATGCCAGGGTCGAAAGTTTCCAGGCGGATGAGTAGTGCCGATTCCCGAAAGGAAGTGGGCGGTGTCTTGAAGACCTGGCGCTCAGACCGCCCCAGCCGGCAGGTGCGTGATCACAGACATCGGGCCTAGGCTTCACTTGATGATCACAGGCAGCACTGTGGTTGAGCAGAGATGGCATTGCCGTCACCTCAGTTGCTGCCGACGTCAAGTATCATGACTTCCAAGCCACCGGACTGCACGCAAGCTGCTTCACACCATGCAGTAATGCAAGGTAATGCACAGCTGCAGGTCATGCTGGGCAAGGGGAATGTTCAGTTGGACATGACCACCGTGGGATCCAGAAGTATCCGGTGGAAGGGAAGGCGCAGTTATTAGCAGCATGGTAGATTGTAGCCAGACATATCTCGCAGCGCTTGCTCGGCAGATGAGCGAACAATGCCATTGCGACCGCATATTGGGGAAGATTATCGGCACCTGCCGCCAAAACCCTTGCGAGTAGGGCAGGTGGGGCGAGTGGGCCAAGTAGGGTAAGTGGCCGACCGGGGCAAGCGAGGCGAGTCGGGCGAGCGGGGCAAGTGAGGCATCAGTGGCAAGTGGGGGTGGGGCGAGTCGGGCAAGGGTCAAGTGCTGATCGTGCAGCAGAGAAAGCAGCTGCAAGTGGGCTCGTCCGGCCAAAGGGGCAAGTGTGGCGAGTGGGGCGAGCAGGACAAGTGGGGGGCAAGTAGGGCGAGTCAGGCAGTCTCGTTAGTCCCCTCAGTGAGAATGCCTGACATCCTTGGCGTGATGCTGCACACTTCTTCGAGGCACGGAGATGTTTGGGAGTGGCGCTGGATGGGTGACACGGAGCCTCGCAATTGGATGGGTTCGAGAACGACCTGCTGTGAGCTAGAAGTTGTAGACTGCAGAAGCAGGAGCCACACCCGTTCGGACATCTCTGGTCCTCATTGCCTTGGCAAAACATCGCCAAACCTCGAGGCAGATGCAAGTCCGTTGTGTAGCCTTCTATGACTTGTGTGCATTGAATACTGATAGGTCCCGAAAAGAGGAAAGCCCTGGCGGCAACCTCGGCCTCATTTTACCTCTTGTTGCGGGACTTTCCTAGCACATGCCAGCCGGCTGAGGTTTACAAAAGGCTCGGCCACTTAATACTACTTGCCGCGCACTGTGCGGGCCCCAACTGAAGGTCATCCCATCCTGCAGCGGCACACCAATGGCACATGAGACTCATATTGGGGTAAAGAGTACGCTGGCAGCTCGTGATCCAGGTGCATCACTGTGCCTGCGTATCGTGGTTGACGCGCGAGGTCACTACATGGAGAAACTTGTTCCGCGCACCCCTCCGTCGGCATCAGTCTACTGGAAGGAGGCTTGGCATCTTCATCACTTGGGGATTGAGGTGGTGATGGTGCAGAATGCGTGCTGGCATGTCTGGCCACGCAAATTGCAGGGGGCGATATCTGCCCCAAGGCTCGTTCGAAATTTTGCAGATGCCACGGATCGTTCAGGTTTGCCGGACAGTGGAAAATGCCAACAGGCTCCCATGAGCTTTCGGTGATTTAGAGACTGCTCCGCAAGTGTTGTGGACGAACTTGGCAGGGCTGCCAACATCGTGACTGTTGCTGCGGAGCTAGCAACCTTTGAAGATCGTGTCCACGACGGAAATCTTTTTTTGGCCACGGCCCTATAAAGTGGTCCCTCCATGCCGGGCCGTTGTCAGCAGAGTTCTTCCCGGCTGCAAGATGCTGCAAGGTCGGAGACGCTGAGCGCTTCTGGAAGCGGGCCGACCTTGAAGTCCCGGGAACGAACCTGCCACTGCCCCGGATGGCGATTCGTCATGCCAGGCCACACAGGTGATCTTGCCATGGACATGTTCTTCACATGTGCCCTCCCTTTAGTCCGCCGTGTGGCGAGAATCTAGACTTGCCCTGAGCATGGGGGAGTCAGGCTTCTTTTGAGCCACCCAGCGAAGCAAGAGAAAGTGGTCAACGAGGGCTGGAACCGCTGGAATCAGGCTTGTCGCTGAGTAGGCCCAAGTGGCCGCAAGCAGATTGCTTTGCCAGGAGAAGTTAACCCAGCAAAAGGTCCTTAAGTTCATGAACCGCGTGAACGTGGAGGCTTCAGTGCATTAATGGCGATGGGCAGATCCAACGGAGCTTCAGCCTGCGCTTTTTGAACACACCTGCCATGGCCAGCTTCAATAAACTGCTGGATAAGTGGTCCTTCAGGTGCGCAGTCCTTTCCACACTCATGATCGTGATCGAGAGATCTGATCTCTTCACACTAGAACGAACTGCCTGATGCATCTTTCCTCCAAGCCTATTCTTTAACCGGAAATTTTCAGCCATACCCTTTGGCAGGGCCTTGCACACTCCGAATTCAGCCTCTGGCCACGCCCGTTTCGGCCCACACAGAGAGCAAGTCCGGTGCGCCCAACGGAAGAGTTCAGGTTCAATATTCAGAGTCGAGTCTCATGCGAGTCGTGCGGGGGCGGAGGAGCAGATCGAAGAGGCCGTGCAGAAAGCTTTGAAGCGCATTGGACAGGCCGGGCCGGGCATGAGGCCTATGGCCCGTTGCCGTTGCGTTGCGGTGTTTCCCTGCAGATGTTGGTGCATGTTCCTGGAGATGAGAAGCTACAGTTCTGTAAGAAGCTAAGACCCCGCCTGCGCGACAGGCAGAAGAACTCAGCTGGCACAAGCTTCGCGCAATATTTGCTGGAAGGTCTTGCCAGAGAGTTGGCTCAGAGTCCCCTACATGCAGTGACGGTAAGTCGGGACCGTGCAACGACAGACCTGCCAGGGGATTCTGGACAAGGCGGCAACAAGAAGAAACAGGCGGTTCGCTTGAGACCGCTACAGACTTGAACCCGCCGGAAAATCGCTTTCTCAAGCTGCGGGGACTTGCCGACGCACCATCGTAAGATTGCATGGACTGCGTGTACCTCAGGATTTTTTTGCTTCAGCTTCCATGCAGCATGCACTTCGGCCGGAGGTGTTCGTTCTACTTTCCTGACGGCAGAATCTGCAGACGCATGTATCGCCCGCTTGCTCCATTTTATAACGTCTGATTCCCTTGAGCCAATGCTCGTGCTTCTGCGATGATCTTCGCCGTGCACCTAGTGTCGAGGGCTTGTGCATGGGCTCCGGATTCAGCTCTGTGTTTTGATTGACCGATGCACGAGCCCCATTACGATCGACTCGTTGCATTGCAGCAGAGGTCACCGTCGGGACCACTTGCTTTGACGAGCTGGTCAGGGCGGTTGACACTGAAGCCTTCCATGAGAAGGTGCCCAAGCGCTGCAGCTTCCGGTCAGATCGCAACCCAAGAAGCAATTCCCAAAAAACAGGCAAGGGGGTATGGCTCGTGCCCCCTTGAGGCCCTGGCACTCGGATTTGAGAGGCTGGTCGTGCAGCGTGGCCGCGGCAGCCACAGGCACCCTAAGAGTCAACAGGGAAGGCCTTTCAGAGTTGTCGCACAGGCCCCGGCAACTGGGCTTGAAGACGGAGCTTGGTCCCCAGTCAAGTTCGTGTCATTAGCCATAAGCTACGGTACTGTAGAGCCGCATGCTCTGCACAGAGCGAGGTCTTTCGACCTCAAGCCCAGCTTGGACGAAGAGGTGTGAACTTCCTTGTCGTGCGGGGTAATGGCAGGGGCTAGAAGCCTTGTCAGTTGAAGTCCGCCTCCCTGGTAATCTCCCATGCCGGCGCTGGAAGCATCATCGAAGCGCTCAGGGAGCGAAGGTGCAGCAACGCAGCCCCGCCCTGCACGCCCTGACCTTTGGCCCTGCCCTACCCGGCTTCGTTCCAGGCGATTGCTGGTGGTCGTGAATCCTCTGCTCATGAACAATCACCAGCTGGAGTTGGCCGAGGCTTACAGACACCTTCCAAAATGAGGAAACTCTCGACTTGGTGATGCAGGCCATGCAGAAGAGGGGCCACTGCGCCGGATGCCTGGACGCCCCAAAAGTGCCTACTCTCTCCGTGTAGCCCAAGGCCATGGCAGCGGATGCCTCGGAGGTCGTCGCCCGGCTGCAGGAGGCGGTGCAGGCCGGGTATGGCCGGGTGCCGCTTTTTTGCTTCGTAGCCAAAGCTGCCTCCTGTCGCCAGATGGATCTCACTGCCTACCCAGCGGCAAACCTCAAGCCATGGCATGACCTGCTAGAGGACTGCGAATGCTCCAGACTGGGCGATGTGCAGTAACAGCTGCCATCATTGCAGGACGCCTGTGGTGTGGTGCCGGTAAGCCGAGCTCCGGGATAATCCAGCAGGTCCAGGAAAAAGAGCGCTTGACGCAGCCTGGAAAACCCTCTGACATACTTTGACATTGCCGTCCGGAGCTGTGGAGCCCAGATGTATCGCGCAGACTTGGTTTAGATCAGGCTATGCCAATGCCAGGCATAGGTCATAGGTACGCTTCTGCTTTCTCGATTTGGTGGGTCTCGCAGTAGAGCCATCGCTCTGACCGGGCCATGGCACATGTACGGCGCACTGTGCTGCTTGGGCTGCGCGCGTCGCGCCACTTCGGCTTTCGTACCGAGGCGGACAGTTAGTCAGTTGGTGTCATTCTTGCGTAAGTCTTGTGTACATGGATCATGGTGGTCATTGGGCATGGGATCCTGCAGGTCTTACGGGGACTGCACTGACGCCTGGTGTTAGGATGCAGTATAATCCTAGGAGCTTCCACCCCGCGCTTCTCGTCACTGCTGTCGCAGCTGCCAGACTTCGAGGAGGGCCGTCGTGCCGCTGGCTTCAATGGTTGTGCCATTCAGACTTGGCACACATTTCCAGATTGTAGCCAAGCTTGTCCAGGCTGTAGCGGAGCAGCGGCACCTTGGCTGCACTCGCAGCACGTGAGATGGGGGGGCATTTCCCTTGTCCCGGTTGAATGCACAGGTGACCAAATGTGGTCCTTCAGTTTCTTCAGCAGAAGCACCCCCCTCTGAGGTATGCAGATGCACTGCCTATGCTGCGACGTGCTGCAGAGGTTCTGAGGGTCAAAGCTGCGAGCGAGTTTCGCATTGTTTGAACATGCTACTTCGAAAGTTTTCCAAGGTTGCCGACGCATACTTTCCGCCTGACGCAGGCCTCCGCGTAATGTTCCTGCGATGGGTAAAAGCTGAGCGTATCTCCGATGAAGCCGCAGGAGCGGAACGTGCAGAGTGCCACCTCGTCTTGGGCTCTTGCCTTTGGATGCAAGGCCTCGGGCTCAGCAAAGCATGAAGTTCCAGTCGGAACTCATGGCCGGCAGTTCTGAGGCCTTTTCGCGGAAGCCGCGCAGCACTTTTCCGGCAAAGACTCGGAGCAGTTGCAATTTGCGAGACGCTCAGCCGCTCAGCTCGTGAGAAGAAGATGCCGGCACATGATTGGTTGAGAGGCGGCAGCACGGACATTTTTCGAGCTCGGAGACTTCAACCAGGCATCTGCGTTTTCCAAGTTGGCTTGATTCAGGAGCCGCATCAGAGAACAGCCTCTAATCGGGATGTCTTGTGTCGTGAAGGTAAGGTGGGGTCCGATCAACGCGTTTCTGTTTTGTTCCTTTCAAGCCTACGACCATCTCCACGACTTCATGCGTGGCGAGGCTTCAGCTTTGGCGCGTGGTCTCAAGTCCTCAGCATCTCTGCGGACTTACGGGCACCTGATCCAGGGGGCAGTTCAGGTTGCCACTGGGGACGGGGAGGCGCTGCTTCAGGATGCTTCGAGCAGGTATCTCTAGGGGATGAAAGCCGCTCTGCTTCCTGCCAGGCTGTGAGCACGGATGACCTGTCGTTGGAAGCCCAGTGTATCGCCAAGCTCAACGAGCTGGTGGGTGAGGCGCTATCTGAAGGCCGGACAGTTGTAGAGGCTCAGGCATGATCAGGCATCTCTCATCGCTGCAGGAGCTGGTGCTCCTCCGACTGCTGCCAAGCTGACGGGCTCGCCTCTGGCTCAGCTCGTGGGTCTGGAGGAGGGTGATCCAGAGATCTCTGCTGAAACCCGCCTGGTGTTGCGCTGCACTCTGGGTGAGCTGGCCGTCCACGGAGGCAGGAGTGGCTTGTGCTTGTATTGCTAAGCGCGGGTGCCGGGATTCAGAGGAAGGTATCAGAGGGATGTGACGGTGCAGTTGAGAGGTGTGGACGAACCATGGGTGCGGCAAGCTCTGGTCACTTGGTGGCACAGGGCCAAACCAATGTCTGCAAGGCTGTCGGCACGTTAAGTTTCACACCAAAAGCACATGATAAAGGTCTCTGCCTTGTCAGACTTCGACGGCCTGCAGCCACGCGATCCAACGCTGCGGCCTTTCGTTACATGGCATCATGCCTAAGGACTGGAGTTGTTCCGCTGGCACGGACGTTCTATATATCTTATCCTTTTTTTCCGAGATGTCCGAGTTCACACATACCTCAAGCGTTATTCATCGGTATTCATCGGTGAAACTAGCAGAGAGCACTGAGCGCTCGCACAAAAGACGATCTAGAGGATGATAGACCCGCCTGTTCTTTTGAGTGTTGTCCAAGGTCTTTCGAGCTTTGGCAGCACTCGCAGGCGTGACCAACCAGAAGGGCGATGCCATCACGGCAGAAGGCCGGCGGCTCCTTGTTGCTCTCCCTTGGCTTCGCTCTGCGAGCCCAGGGCTCTATCGCACAGCTCTGGACCACGTGGAGAAATACAAGACTTCCGGCCAGCGTGCAGAGACCTGGAGATCCTGGGTTTCGGAGGGCTTCGCGAAGATGCTTTCCGAAGGCACCGCCGCGCGGGGGTGCACTCTTTGCAAATCAGTTGATGGGTCAGATGTCAGGCCGTCATGCTGAGCAACGCAAAGCCGAGATCCATGCGCTCCAGGCCTTCCTGGGTTTCTGACAGGTTCAGGTTTTAGGCGCCTTGCAGACGCTTTTGGCATCTGCCTCAGGCAGAGGTGAAACATTCCTCAACCTCAGCGCGACGCTGGGCGCTCTTGTGGGTGCCACCCCTGCTGGCAGGCTCTGAGCCTTCCTCCTGAGTCGGTGGTCGAGAGTTGTTGTGCCGCAACCATGCTGCATCCGACAGAGACTCCTGCCGCCCAGGCATCGAGTGACGGTGGCTTCAGTCTGCTGGGTACCGGCGGCCATTCCCACGGTTCCCACCACCCCTTGCGCTTGCCTAGACAAGAAAATGCTGGGGAGGTTTGGGGTCTTCTCTCACGTTCTCTCAGAATGCCCGCGCAAAGCCGCAGAGATCGCGGGAAAAATCAAGAAAGAAATTGCATTTTGCAGCCACCGACAAAGGAACATGGCACAGCTTCTGTGCTGGCTGTGTGTTCAGCTCAGCTCAGGAGGGCAGCCATGTCGTGAAGAACCTTCACCGAGATTGGATGGAAACTCGCCTCGTGGACACTTGCATCGCTGGCTGTGTTGGCCGAAAACGCGCCTGAAGCCGCACGTTGAGCTTACCATTGTGAATAGAAAAAGTAAGCTAGCCACAGTGTATTCCCATGCAGCCAAGGAATCATACTGCCGCTCGGCTTGTCTTGGTGTAGTCGTGGGCACCGAGTAACTTTTCTGCTCTTGAGCCAAAGCTTTGTTTTGTGCTGACTGGAGGCTTGCGCCGGACGAGGTGACGCCCCGAGCGGGCGACAGCTCACGGCCAGCACTGGACTCGGGCTGGCTGCAACCGCTGAGGTACCGCATCGGGCTTCCTTTTGAAGTTACGACAAGCTTAGGAGCTTCTGGGTTACAAATGGTTTCAACGTTAGTGGCCGTTAGTGCTCGCAGGTGCTCGTGCGACGCAGCCAGAATTGACAAAACTGCCTCAGTAAAAGAAATCGTTTCATGTGAGAATTGCAAATTGTACTTTGGTTTGTAATTCTGAACAATGGGGGCTTTGAGCAAACATCAACATCTCTCATTAGCATGTGTTGCCATCTCAACCGGCAGGCAGATGGGGAACGAAGAAGCATGGCAAGCAATGGAGGACTTCTAGTGTCTGTGTGCAGCAATCGCTCGTACCGAAGTTCCAGAACTCATCTTGCTACAGTTTTGCGGGACAGGAGCATGCCCGCAGACCCGACGTCTCCGGCGGAGTGATGGACATCACTCCGGGCATGTGTGCACCTCAGGTGTGAGGGAGCATATTGCAGCACTGTTAAACAAGGTAGGTGGCTGACTTGCCGCCTTGTGTTTTGGCACGCTGCGAAGCCCGGAAGCCTTGCAATTTGCAGCACACTCTTGGCCTTTAACCACAGAAAAACACCTATGCCTGAAATATGCACTGCAAAGATGGACATGTATCATTCTTCGGGCATTGATGCTCGCTCCCACAGTATGCACCCGGGAACATGTATGTTATCATCCTTCGGGCATGGATGCTCGGTCCCAAGCTTTGCAGAGGAAAGATGGACGTTCCCATCCTTCGCGCAAGGATGCTCGGCCTTTCATGTCCTTTCGTTCAAAAACAGGGACTGCCAGCATCAAAAATTAGCAGCAGCCTGGGCAAAACGCAGCAAAGCCGCAGTTCCTGCAAGCCATGCGGACAAATATGCGCAAAACAAATTTGTGTTCTCGACCCGCAACATGCCAAAAGCAAATTGCGAGCAAAACGAACAGAAAGAGCAACAGTACTGTACTGAGTAACAATACACCCACACAAGAAGCGAAAACAACCACATGCACAATTGGAGGAAAGGCCTCTGTGCAGAGCAAAAACTAGAAGCAACAAGAGAGTGAAACGACACTGAAACAGTGGTCCGGGCGGCAGGTCCTCCACCTCGCTTGAACAATCTCAACAACCACGTGCTGTTGGTCAGTTTGCGTTTCTCCTTGCCACGAGTTATACCATGCTGCGAAAGGCTTCAGTGCTCTGCAGGCTTATCTTCATCCCGCATGGCTGGTGGCATGCTCTGCGGCCGCTAGACGACGTGACTGTCATATCTGGGCCATCGAAGCTTTCTCATCATTACCACACCGAGGAGGCCGCAGTGGGATGTTCTTACATGATGCGATGGTTGTACCGGTGATGCCCGACGAAGGTCGGTCTTGACTTAGCAGACGCGGAGGAGCTGCGCCAGATTGTGTGCAGCTGGGACACGGGGAAAGGCGTCTTGGGAATGCGGGGCATGCTGACATGCAGTTCTCTGCCAAGGCAGCTTGCCAGCCGAGCAACTCAAGCTCTTGCAGGTGGCTGGCAGCGCTGCGCAGACGGCAGGGTTTTTGATCTCCGCCAGGCCGAGCTCGGAGAGGAGTACACGGAGTTCCTGCGCTCTGGCACATCGGAGCTTCTACAGTCGCTGCCGATGCAGGACTCCTTGCCACATACCAGATTTCACCAGAATCGTGTGTCAAACACGGGCTTCATGGCCACGTGAGGAGCAGCATTTCGTGCTCGATGCCCTGAACAAGGCGGGCAGTGACGGCAAAGCTCCATCAAATGCTTTTTGGGCTGTAGCTGGTAGCTTTCTTACGGCCCGTCTCGCATGCCGGACGCTGCGTCATGCTGTGCAGTGCCAGGCGGCAGGATAGCCACTTCACCGGCCGGACGCGTCTCACGCCAGTTTGCGTGAAAGTCGCTAACTTGCTGGAGTCCAGAGCCTTCTATGCTCGCATGGGAACCGCATCTCCGGGAAAAAGAGGAGCGTCACCAGGCATTGCCGCAAATATCGCTGGGACTCGTGGATGGATGCGTTTACAGTCGTCGTCGTTGTCCAAGTTATTCCAACTCTCAAGCAGCAGGTCCTGGACTTCGGCAGTGGAGAAGTTGCATGTTCATCTGTAAACCTGCAAGCCGGTGATCAAAAGGAACGCTCGGAACCCTCAACAAGTCTCGAAGAACCAGCCAAGGCTGCAAACTCAGCAGCAGCTGATGTCAGTTCTTGCTGGGCGGGCAGGCAGCATTACTTCAGATCTTGCACGTCGCATCATGTCGCGTCTCACTTCAATTACCTGCGCAGGTCCTGAGATAGGGCATGCGCAGTTCGGCGAGTTCCTTTCTCAGACGCAAGGAGGGCGGACTCATAGAGCGGTGCACCAGAACCGCAGCAGCCATTGCAGTGAGTCTGAGATGACCGGACCCGGCGACCTCAGGCCTCCAAATCCTCAATGTGACCCCCCTCAGCTGATGCAGAGGCTCCACCTGCACCAGCTTGCACCAGCTTGCGCCAGCTTGCGCCAGCTTGCCAGCGGTGCCTCCATGGCAGGCAGCTCCTCACGGCAGCCCTGGAAGTACTGGCGGCTCGCAGTTCAGGTGACCGGGGCATGTCTGGGCTACCGATACCATGTCGGGGATGCTTTGCAGAGAGGTGCCGGCTCCTCCGTGGACACCCCTCGCACGCTGCGGAGCTGCAGCTTGGGGGCTTTGCCGGACTTCCAAGCTTTGAAGTTCAGGGGGGTTTTTGGCAGTGACAAAGGCTGGATGAGATGATGAGCTGTGGGCCGAGCAGGAGCAGCTTCAGCAACTTGGAAGCAGAGCCTCAGAGTGGAGAGAACCTGAAAGGGTTGCTCGGATTTCAGAGAGCCACGGCTTGCTATGTCAAGGCCTGGGATCCGATGTGACAGCTTCCCCTGTACGTGAGCGCTGGGCCGGCTAGGTGCACAAAGGGGTAATGGTATCATCGCCACATACTTGATGGGCTTTGCGACGGGGGATAGACGTCTCCAGATGTTGTTGGGATGCATCACTGACGGTTGACTGCAGCTGCACGTTGAAGCTCGGTGCTTTACAGGCTCCTGCCTTGGACACCTCTCCGGCACTGGAGTCACTAGATTACCAGAACGTGGGGCTACACTTCCAGAACTGCGATGCTTCCTGGCCAGGCATCGCGATGGGCTCCCAAGAGTTTCTTGCATCGTTCGACACCGAGTGTGAGCAATGCGACATGCAACTAGTACTTTCCGCGATTTTCCAGGAGACCTTTGAGCTGCTCCTATCGAACATAGAAGAAACTATCAGCTCGGTCACCTGTTTTCGTACCGGGCGTGCATGGCCAGAGGCCGGCTCGGTTGGGGGAGCGACCAAGCGACTTGTCCGTCCCAGCTCTGGTTTCGAATATTTCACGCCGCGCGTGCAGGGTGATCGATGTGAAGTTGGCATGATGCCGATATGGTCTAGAGTCAGCATCGGAGGCATTGCACACCTTGCAGGCCTCGGGCATTTTTTTGTGGAAGAGTGTGGGAACTCTTGACCCACCTGGGAGCAGTCGAGCATGCTCGTCTTGCGGACGTCCCAGATGGGTATTGAATGTTTCTTCTTTACGTATGCAGGAGATCATCTTAGGCACTGAGTCGATAAATCAGGTTCTATCCTCCAAATTCAATCAGTTTGGTGGTAACACACAGCAAGAGAGCACAATGCTGCGCAACCTGCAGCAAAAGCTTGGAGTGTGTCATCCACGTATGAGCTGCCGTGAGAGCTTGTGACATCGTTTTTACTTGTGCAGTTTTTGTGCCAACAGACTTCACGGCAAAGTAGCTTCGTGCCAATGGCCAGGTATAAAGAGCTACTACGGGAAACCCCGCCGTCACCTGGGGACACGTGCACAGACATCCCCGGGGCGTCAGGACGAGCGGGGTTCCACCGCGATAGCAACTGGGCACTGGACATAGAGGGCTGAGGTGAACCTCGGCCCTGTGGCAGCCGTACGAACGCTACGGGCAGCCCAGACAATCCCGCTGGCTGGGATAATCCCAGACTTTATGACCAACAGTCCGGAACTGAAGACGGGCCGTGCCCTGATTCAAGACTGGCCACCAAGCCTTCAGGGTAAAGTGCCCATACAACATGTCTTATGGTTCTTGATGGGGGGAAACAGTAGAGGGGCAACGTTGAATGTCAAGAAGGCAAGAATTCCGAACGCGAAGCTTCAGGTAGACCATCGGGGCTTGGCATCAGCAAGCAAAAAGAGCTACCGCCAATTCGTCGCAAGTCATGGCTCGTGCTTTACAAGCACTCACCCAACGGAACTGAGTCTCGCAGGTGTCGACCCTCAGTGCCTCGGATCTGCCAGGCGGCTGCAAGATCGGAGTGGTCAAGGACAGCCGGCAGGAATGCATGCAGCCAGTAGCCCTGTATCATCCTGCGTCCGTGAGAGGAAGAGTGATGCTTCCTGGCCGGCAAGGCTGCGTGAAAGCATGGTGTTGAATTCCCACGCATGCCAACGCTGTCCAGTCGGGTTGCACTTGCGGCTGCCATTACGTGGATGTGCATGAGGTGCTGCTTCTCGCATCTTGCTTCCTTGTGTCGCGTTGCAGCCTCATGAGGACTGAGGGGGTGAAACCTGCTGATGGCATGATGGCATGCTGGCTGCTCTCTAGCTTCGAGCTATTACGAGCTCTAACTGTCATCCCTCTGCGTCAGGAGCAGAAAACTGTGCTCTGCTGTCGCCCACCTGACCTTGCTGCTGTCAGCTGTACTGGACAGTCAAAGCGCTACTCCATGGGCTTGGAGGGCCCTGGGCGCTCGAGTTGCAAAGCATCTGCTGCATCTGACTTCCATATTTGGCAGTTGCGACATCATACCGCATCCCAAGCAGCAGTTATCTGGGGGGAAGTCTAGGACGGAGAAACCGTGTTTTCCAACAGACTTGCCCCAAGTCTGCCATTCGACACAGATCTGAGAAAAGACCCAGTTGCTGCTAATTTTGCAAGGGTGCAGCCAACTGACAAGCTTTGAATGCTCGGCATGTGGAACACGCAGTAGAATCATTGCGATAGTGGGGTCAGTCAGGAGTGGTGCTCGTTCTATGTTCCTCCATCCTTCGCTTTGCATGGCTTTGCACATCTTTGCACCGTATGTGATGAACTCGACGAGAGTCGTGAAGTGCAGAGGTTCATCGCGACAGTTTTTTTGCATCCGGGTGAGGTCTGGTGCACATGAAAGGAACGAGCATGCAGACATTCCTGCATAGCTCCACAAGTTGCCACGAGTGTACCATGGATGCGCGCTGCATTTGTGCTGCAGTGTGTGAAGCTGCTCAAGTCTCAGCTGTCATCGTTTGTATACTGTATACGACTGGAATTCTGTTCGTTCTGCACGACGGTGCTTAGCTGACGAAAAGGAGCCCAGTTTGAAGGTGAAGCTGCCGACTTTGCATGGCTTAGATGGCCAGCCAGGTGTTTCCATCCACACGAGCCGGGTTAAATAGAGCAAGACCACAGCGATGGACCCGGAATGCTGGACGAGACTGGAGGCCTGTCGTGGCTCCAGTCGAGGAATTCGCAAGTAGTCAAAGTTGATTGCCAGCACCACAGCCAGCATTATGTGAGGAGCCTTCCTAATTTGAGAACGGCTTTGACTCCTTGCTGTCGCCTCCCCCATGTGACAGGTGTGCCCTTGCGCTTTGCCTTGGTGCAGCGTGGTGGAGCGGCCCACGAGGCAACAACAAGAGAGCCATCACAGCGGTGCTCTGGCGTGCATTTTGGCCAGGTTACGCTGCATGGGACGGAGGCCTAGCCCCTGTCTCTCAGACCCGACAGCGCCCCGGGGGGAATTGGCAGGTAGCCTTCTTGGGCCGGGCCCCAAAGAGCGCCATCGTCGTCAACGAGTCCAGCCCGGAGCCGAAGAGAGCTTGCAAGGAGCCCATGTTGGAACCAAGGCGCCAAGGTCAGGGAAGGATGAGAGAAGGCGAAAGGCGGCATCTTGGGCGGCTTTCCTCCGATCTGCCCGGCCATGCGGCTCAAGTCAGGGATACAGATGCCAGACATGTCGGCCTCGGAGTGGCCGGCCCAGACGTGATGTGTGAGCCACGCAAGATATCGTCTTGGAACGGGCCGCTCGCTGTCGGCTGAACTCGCACTTCACTGTCGAAGGTCATCCGGCGCCGGCCAGCCTGTGCAGCCGCCACCCTTGGAGGTGACTCTGCAGCTGAAAACGAAAGCATGTGCGTATGTCTGGTGGCGTTGGACCTGCGTCAGCTTAGCCGTCTCTTGAGCCTCTGCAGCTAGAGTGGAAGAGATGTGAGCGTCCTTCCGGAAACTTACAAAGAAGCTCCAGGCCCTGATACTACGCAACATATCCGGCATCCCGATGGCAGCCAACCCAATGCCAGCAAGTCTTGTATCCTTGCTGGTTGACTCAGCCGAAGCAGGTTGCCTCGGGCGAGTCAGAGGTGAAGGATGAGGCATGGTGCCAGATGTCACGTAATGTTGAGCATGATAAAGTCGCAACATTGAGCCAGGAGCCCAAAGGCGTTGGCCAGAAGCTCGCGAGATTTTTTGGCAACGTGGGCTATCGCACCTGGAATGCAAGGTAGATGTACATGCTTGTGCCGTAACTTAATGCTCCCGAAACGCCGAGATGGCCAGGCGTGTGTCATGTAAGCTTCAACCCAAGAAGATGCAAGCAAGCTCTTCCGCGCTCTGGGGTGGCGATGCTGTTTACAGAGTTTACAAGAGCTCTGTCTGCATGGGTTCCTTTGTAGGTTTCTCGGGCAACCTTCTTCAGGTGTCTTCGACAACATGAGCTTTGTGGGCGAGGCGCACGCGTCACCTTGCACAGCGTCTTCGAAGGTAACAGGGAAAAGCGCAGAAGCAGGTTCTGAGTCTGGTAGTGAGGTAGTGGCAGTGAGCTGGTGGTGGTGCCACCCGGTATGTGTCTCGCTCCCTGATTTCGCCGCACTTTTCCCTAATTCTGCTGCTGCAAAGCCTGGTAATCTCCGAATTCGGGTGCACATGGGGGCAGCACAGCACCCATGAGAGCGACGCCCATGACCTACAGCGTTTCGGGGCAAGCATCCACGCAGGTTCTCGTTGAGTTCCTGGAGTTGGACAAGCATCCGCACCTTGCCCGACTGTAACATGCTTCAGAGGTTCGTTGAAGCACATGCTTGCCAACGGAACTGGTTTATTCGGCCACTGTTCAAGAAGGTATCAGCGCGAGATGGACGAAATGCGCAGGCAGCAACGCCGTCGAAAGGAAGCGCAGCAGCAACATGAGGCTCGGATCTTGTTGTGTGTGTGTGTGCGTGTGCCACTGAAATCTTCAGTCAGTCTTCCGATCGGGTGGACACACTGAAGGCTTCGATGAGTTTGTTCAATTGGTGCAAGGGGGCCAGCGTTTCTGGCTCGCATCGCAGGCCGAAGCCATCGCATCCCTGGAGGAGGCGGCAGGGCCAGAGACAGCTGAGGATGCTAAAGGTTCGGAAGCTCCGGCTGCCACATAAGGGCACAGCCGCGCAGATAGCAACATAAGTGAGGGAGCCAAATGCATTGTCGTCAAAGTCCAACTTCAAGAGTGGGAAGCAGGGTTAACACGACAGGCTAAGAAGCCGCGACTGGCCGTCTGTGACCGCAGCCAAAAACAGGAAGCACACCAGACCAACAACACCAGCAAGACAAAGATAAGAAAAGACATTTCAGTGAAGGAGCACCGACAGGTACAGCTACAGTATAACCAAACAGAGTCGTCTCCGGACCGTCATGTACTCCCACAGCACCTGTGCAACACTACTCCCTGCTTCGGGGTAGGGCCCGAAGATATGCGATCATGGTCAAGCTGGAGCTTCTTGGCCATGTGTTTGTTGCCCTCGGAGAGCTGTTTCACCTGAAGGGCCAACCGAGCCGAAGGGTATGTCATCGTCGTTGTTCGCCTACGGCTGGCCAGGAAGAGACGTCATCATGCCATTGCAACGATCGAAGTTCAAGATGGGACAAAGTAAAGACCGGAATTCGCATGATCAGAAGGATCATGGTAGGTGGCCCTCCTGCAAAATTATTGCTGTCGGAGAGTCGGAGGACTGGAAAGCAGCCGTTCTCGCGCTCATGGTACCGATACTTTTAGTAAGACTATGCGTGCTGAGCTTGCTGCTGAGGCGTCTCATCCGCGCACGTGGAGTTCTCGGCTGGACGCATTCCAGGCAACGGAAAGCCCCGAGCCAAGAGCTGCAGCCAGCTTTGTAACCCCCAAAGCGGTTTGCAAAGCAATTCTCTCGTTCCGATGCTGGGCCGTCTTTGACAGCTCAGCTGCGCATGTTCAACGGGCCTAGCATCCAGACCAGCAGCCACCAGCACTTCTGCCTTCGTCCAAAGGTCCGACATGCGCATCTTTTCTGAACCCAGAGCATACAGATACGGCGCAGTCAACAACAAACAACACTTCATTGGCTCCGTCCACGAGCGCATTGTGGTCGTACGGCGGTATGGCTCCATACCTGGGGCGGCTGGCATAAGATTGGAGTCTCCTGGCCACCAAGAGAAGCGCAGCTGGTTGGTGATGCCGTTCTTAGTTTTGGACTGTATGCTTGGATCCTAAGGAGACGGATGTCTGTGCTGCGAGGTCACACTCTACGATCTTGCAATGCGCTCATGGCTCAGGCCTGGCTGGAACTCGTGGTCGCCTCTGTTCGGCTCGGCAGCTGCCGACAGCTGCCCAAGGCACTCCCAGCGCATGGCGGGCGACGCCGGCAAGCTGATGGGCGGGCATGGGCTGGCCGATCAGGCCGAGGTTTCCTGCCTTTGGGACACAGTGCCGTGCCATGCCGTGCCTGCTGTGAGGTTGGAGTGGCATATGGGTGAGTGCACTCGCAGCACAGCGGCATGCGTTTCGAATGCACGGAACGCAGGCGGCCTGGCAGCTGCAGAATGGCCCGGAGTAAGACGCGCACTGTGCTTGCGAGGTGCTCACTGCCGAGCTGTTGCAAGAAGCTTCCGACGAGACATCGAACTCGGTGATAACATCTTTGCAGGTAGGCGCGGAAGACGGCCAGTAGCGAAGCGCGAGAAGTTAGTTGTCAATGTTTCTTGCATTCTCAATGCCCTGTTCAGGCACTGCCCAGCTTTCAGTTGTTGGCGAGGTTGGAGGCAGAGGCAGCCATGCTGCGCGACAAGGAGGACGAAGACAAGCTTGCCAAAGGCGTGGCCGAGGCCGTGGCAAGGGGTGTTCTGCAGGATCACCCTCGAGTGGAACCCACGTTCCAGATCGAGGCGGAAGGGAAGTCAGTGAGAGTCATTGCTGATGAGATTCGGCTCAAGCTTGGCCGTGCTCCTGAACGCGGATGTGTAGTGGTTATACAAGGCAGCAGCGGAACAGGAAAGAGCACTCTCGTCAAGAAGCTTCAGGCTGGCATGCCCAAGGCTGCGTGCTGGTCAAACGGTAATGTCTTTCGTGCCCTGACATTGCTGGCCCTGCGCATGTGCCCGGATCTGAAGCCAGAAAAGCTGACGCACCAATTCGTGGAAACGCTCATCTCACGCTTGGAGTTCGGCAAGTTCAAGGGAGACTTTGACATTCAAATCAAAGGCCTGGACCAGGATCTCCTCGTCTCCGAGATCGCCAATACACTGCTGAAAGAGCCCGAAGTCGGTAGCTTCGTCCCGATGATCGCCGCAAAGATGCAAGGTGAGGTCGTGAGCTTTGCGGCAAGGGCGGCTTGCAAGATGCAAGCAGCTGGCATGAATGTTTTAATGGAAGGCCGCTCACAGTCCTTGGATTATGTCCGGACACCACACCGCTTCGAGCTGTCAATGAGGGATCCGATCGCCATCGGATATAGACGAGCCGCGCAACGTGTAGCGGGCGCAGCTCGGGACGAGATGATGCGCGATGCGAAGAACGTGCGTGCAGCCCTCACATCGGCACTGTCTCGCCTGTCTGCTACCGAGAAGACGATGCACAGCAAAAGGTCAAACCGCCAGCAGGGCTTCATTGATTTTATTGAATGGTACTGAATGCATTTTCATTTCAGAAATCATTGAGATACATCCAACCAGGTCGCAGGGGAAAGCTGGACAAATTTGTGTCCTGGCGCGGGACAGGCCGATTCACTCGGATCTCACTGTGTATTGTTACTTCTCGGGATGCCGGTGGGGGGGGGGGCAGGGCGGCCTGAAAATTCCCACGTTGGCATTTTTTGCATCACGTGGATGTTGGCCAGGTCTCAGAACGGCACCGGCTTATGCAAGCCAGGATCTTGGTCATGTCAAGTGAATGTCGACGTGCATGTCGTGGCTCAGATTTCAAGGGACGGGGCCCAAAGAAAGCACGCACCTTCCAATGGCTCAAGGTTGGGGCCGGACGGTTTCCCTGATTTGGCCAACATCCTGCGACTGGGCACAGGCCTTTGCTTCAATCCCTTGCTTCCAGTGTGTTAGCGGTACGTGGCAATGATGTGATGTGCCGTGTCCTCACGAGGAGGTCCTCCAGAGGTGCTGGAAGACGGGCATGTCCTGGCCATGCACCAAGCGCGGTGTTGTCATTCCTGCTTGTGGCACGACGTATTCTCATGCTGTCAGTAGCACTTTCGCTAATGATTGAATGCTTTGGTGAGTCGTAGCTTTCGCTAGCATCCGCTTTTCTATTTCCTGGATCTGTCTTGCTGCTTCAAGTCCATGGGTGCCCATACCTTCATGAATGTACTCGTTGTCAACAGGTCGTCCCTCTCCGGAGCAAATGCCGGAATGTTCGTCAGAACGAGGCTTGCTGTGTTAACTTCTGTCGATAGTGAATCGTCTCATGTCCACTACAATCAGACTTGCACGATCTATGTCAGGTGCTGGAGACCAGCCTCTTCCACTTTTATTCGTACCGTGCTGGCCGTCGGCCTCAAGGGATATATGCAGCACTGAATGTAGAAGTGAATGCCCTTCAATGCAGTGCTGCGGGGGTTGTTCAGTCCGCATCACGCTTCGGTTCCCCGATCGCTGACAGCACTGGTTTTTCGGCCAGCAGCTCCTCGTCATTGGCTTGAAGGTCTGCTGGCCAACTCATCGCCTCAATCATTCAGGTTCAATGTTCCTGTAGTCACAGTTGCATGAAACTTTACTTTCAGGGCATTGCATGGATGTCTTTGTGGGGGTCCGACCCGTTCGGAGTCCCTACGGTACCATGCACGTCCCCAATGCCTTTGCTCTCCGAGGCATTGTGTGGCCTCCCCCTTCGATCCGCTTGCGGGCCCAAGGTGAATTTGATCATTTTGTTCCGCTATCCATTCTGCGGTGGATTTGTATATGGAGGTTGACTGGGGGGTTGAAGGTGCATGGACCTGGATGGATGCTGATCAGCAACTCTTGTTGGCAAACGTTTGCAGCATGATGCGTGCGGGATGAAGCAGAGCGGCCCTTGTTAAGTGCTGTCATTGTTCCATCGACGCCAGGAGGAGGAGCCGGGGGCGTCGCGGTCTCTGACACCTGTCTGTCTGTGTGTGTGTGTGTCAGTCTTGGACTCGCAAGGTTGTTCTGCCAGCACGCGTTCCGGACAAGCTGCGTGCCTGGCACCATTGCATTGGAATTTGGCATGGCTTAGGGGTTCCCAATGGTTCGCTTCCTTGCCACCTTCAATGTGCTTCACAGGCTGCATTCATCCATCCGTTCACAGGCATATCACTATGACTGCCAGCTGTACTGCAGGACTTAGTTTGAGATGGGTGAATTCGAACTTCATGCACCAAGCTTATGCACACGTGCATGCATATGCATATACTTATATATATATATATTTACGGGCTGC